CCCATCACGGGATGGCGCCCGTCAGCACGCACACCCCCCCCCGAGCTGGCAGCGGCAGCCACGTGCAGGCCATGGAGCTTCAGAGCCGTGCCCAGGACTCAGCTGAGTCTTCGTCCAGGAATCCCACAAAACCTCCGCTCCCCAAAACGGTGACACAACGCTGCCGCTGCTCGTACTTTTCTCAGCAGGAGGACTCGCTCCACGTACTCCTTTTCTAGGACCTCTCGATCCACTTGCTGATCCCCATAGACATGCTCCACCAGCAGCTGCAACTCTCTAATTAGCTTCTGTCGCAGCCCTTCATTCTCAATGTGACGGCTGAGGTGAATCCTGTAACAAAGAAGAAAACTGCTTTCGGCCTGCTTTGGGTTAGATTGGGTCTACTCATCCCAACCTCACATCGCTTACCAATTAAAACTGATACAAAAGCAACATTAAACCCCAGGCGAGGGACATCCTACAGCAAAGCCCGAGGTGCTAACGCATCACAGTGAACAAAAGACGTGGCAGCTCTCAGCAGCACAACGGCCCGTAGCACACGGGGGCACTTGCAGCAGCACCCTCTGAAGCGTCGCCTCTTTTTAGATGTAGTTTTGAATCCAAGCTGCAGACCGTGCATCCCCCTAGCCGCACACCATCTGCCCGGTTCTCACAGCGCTCCCGACAGCAGCGTCCAGGCGCAGGGTGGAGAGGAGACAGGAACGGTGCAAGCAGAAACTCACACCTTGCTGCAGCACGGCCAAAACACCGCTGCGCTGGGACCGTGCTCAATCCAATAAACGAATCTCCAGACAAAGCCAAGTGCCAGGAATAAATTCTCACTGAAGCACTGATTGTTACACTTTAAAGTTATTGATACCTGTTGAATTCTGGGAGTTTTTCGAGATCCAGGAGGGCAGAATGGGTTGTAATTCTGCCTATTTCAAACTGCGAGACCAGCTCCGCCAAAGTCCTCCCCATCTGGTTCTCTGCAAAATAACCCAACAAGGGCATGACACGCGTCTGCTCTCCCGCCGAGAACCAGCGTCGCTGCGTTCCACTGCAAGCCTCGGGCGCCGGGCTGGGCAGCAGCGCGCCCGAGGAAGCTGTGACCCAGGAGAGCCGCTGGTACGCAGTGCTCACAGGGACGTACCCAGCAAACCGGAGCGAGCTTGTAGCAGGCACGCGCGGGAAGCTGCCCCCTCCCCAAGAGCAGGCTCTGCTAACTGCTGTCGAGGAACTGGAAACTGGGACGCTCCGCTTGGCTCTCAGCGGGACAGCCCTTGCACCAGTCAGCCAAAAAGAAGAAACACTCAGCCAGGAGGCTCCACTGCCCAAGACAGGTTTCGTTCCCAAAACACGAGTTAATTTGTGATCCCCACATAGCAAGAACAACAAAAGGAGTCACTGACTCAACTTCTCACGTCCTTCAGGTTAAACAAGAAATGCAACAGATGTAATACGTAACACTGCAATTATTAACCATAAAATACAAGTTTTCCTGAGAGTTCTCAGACTGTTTCTCCACCCTGAGATTAATGTTGTCGCCCGTGGGAACCCATTAAGCATCAGACTCAATCTCCAAGGCTGCACAGAGGCAGAAAGATTCCCACCGTTCCAGCACACCACCCAGTCTTTCACAGGAGCTCTGCAGAAGCACTGGTGGCATTTCAGCGACAGACTGGTCGCCTGACACCCATCTCCTCATCCCTTCAAACACTTCAAAGCTCTCGGCTATTAAATAAACTTAACCCATTCCCCAGTGTCCTAGCAAGCACCAGGCCCGCTGCCGTTACCTGCGAATCCAGAGCCACAGTTGGTTACGATGTCCAGGAGCGCCTCCGGCAAGTAGCCATCCCGAGCAAAGCGCTCCAGAAAGATGTCCCCCTGCCTTTTGGACAGCTTGCCACCGTCCTTGTTCAGCAGCAGCGGGAGGTGACCAAACTGGGGGGGATCCCAGCCAAAGGCTTTGTAGAGCAGGAGGTGCTTGGACGTCGACGTCAGCCACTCGGTTCCCCGCAGAACATGGCTGATGCCCATGTGATGGTCATCCACCACATTCGCCAGGTGGTAAGTGGGGAAGCCGTCCCCCTTGAGAATCACCGGGTCGCCCTCCACGTCAGCCACCTCATGCCTGGTCCACCCATAGATCAGGTCCCGAAAGGGCTCCAGCCCCTTCTCCAGCCGGAACCGGACCACCCAGTCCAGGCCCCGCGACAGCTTCTCAGACACTTCTGTGGGCGTCAGGTGCCGACACCGGTTGTCGTATCTTTGAGAAAGGAGAACGAAGGTCTCGGTTCAACACAGGCCAACCCCATCAGCCATTTTTACGTTCCCAAAACTCTCAACTGATCCCTGAATTTTAGCTGTAACTGCCCACCACACGTCCAGTCAAACTGCCTCACCTCTGGAGGTCCCTCTCCTAAGCCTCTAAGGGTTACGCTGGCTCCTCTGAGCCTGCTGTCCTATTGCCATGCATGCTACCATGAGTTTTTGCAAGCGTGCAGCACAGGGAACCACCCAGGGGAGAAGGAGTCCCTACCGCGGGGTCTGCTGGCTCCGCAAAGCCTCCTTCTTCAGCAGCTCCAGGCGCTGAGGGGTACAGAAGCAGCGATACGCCGCGCCTCGCTCCAAAAGCTCGTCGCTGGCACGCCTGTAAAGGTCAAGTCTGTGTGACTGCTGGTAGGGCCCAAAGGAGCCGCCGCGGCGAGGACTCTCATCAGGGGGAATACCTGAAACATCAGTAAGACGGGACTCAGAAAGCGCCTAAAACGGGAGAGTGACACCCACCATGGGAGCACACCGAATGTGGGCGGAACAGCAAGGCCCTGGAGAGCGTCCCGAGGGTTTCTGCCCCAGGGCACCCGCTAACAGCGTCTGCCTAGCCCAGGAGTCTGCCCTGGGCTCAGAAGAGAAACAGCAGCCAGCGTCACCAGAATTCAGAGCATTGTGTGCGAAGCAATGGGCAAAAAAGCCCCACCAGAAACCAGTAAATAGCTGAGTGGCTCTGATGGACTGCTTGCAGCAAAATGTAGTCAGGTGTGTGCACACAAAGCAGCGCCCACCCTTTTTATAGGAAAGAACCCTCAGACCACAAAAACACAGCTGAGACCCTAGCCCATTACTGTGTCTGCTCCAAACTTACTATTCAACAGTGAAGTCCTCTGAAGCTTACCTGTCCGTTACTGGCAGCACCTCTCGGATCTGGCTCTGCCTTATCACGATTCTGTATTCTCAAACCACCCTCAATTTTAGTTCTCAAACTCAAACAAAACAGAGGACTAAAACGAAAACTGACACCTCCAGATCCCCTTTAGCAAACACTCCGCATCCAAACAATTTATCAGTTTACAGCGAGGTCTGTGAGCTCCAACTTTGGACCCTTCCATCCTGCCTCTCCTGCCAAACCTCTGTTACACACTGGGCCGCTGCCACAGACTCGGATCTTCCTGCGAGGCAGACAACGCAGCCAAGAGACACCAAGCCTGACCCGTTATTTCTGCCACACCGCGTACTTCCAGGCTTTCCTGATGCCTAGCTGGAGAAATAACTAATTTTCAACTAATTCATCACCTGAAATGCCACACAGCTTGGTGCCATGCAAAACACTCTCCACTTGGTCACTGTGACTCTCTCAAAAGAGGAGAGCGTTCCAGCGAGTGAGAAATGAAAGACGCCTGCACATACCGGCCCAGTCCAGCATGTCCTCGATCCCTTCGGCAGCCCCCGGCACCGCTCGGCTCTGGTCCGTGTCCTCCACCCGCAGGACGAATGTCCCGCGGTGCTTCCTGGCGAAGAGGTAGTTGTACAGGGCGGTCCGGAGGCCGCCCAGGTGCAGGAAGCCTGTGCGTGGGGGAAGCCAGAGGACAGCACGCTGATTAGGGCCCAGTTAAGAGCCGGAAGGGCAACGCGGCGGGGGGCTGCGGGGGGCTGCGGCGGGGCCGACCCAG